CGCAAAAGACAAGCAGTTTTTCTGGCATGGTATTCATAAATTACCTGAAAGATGGGCGAAATGTGTAGAAGCCGATGGCCAATATTTTGAATAAAAAAAAAATTAATTTCCCTTGAAAATTACGTGTTTTTTTTTTACCAAAAAACCGAAAAGAACTTATGCATACATATACTGGTAATACATATCAACGGCCGGGAGGTCGTTACATCTACAGAGAGACTAAAACCCGCTTTTCTACCCGCTCCAGAGAGAACAGTTACATCACCACACGAGGAAGCAACACAGAGCGCAGCAATATCATCTAATACTCCAAAAGTTTGTAATAAACCTAAAAAGAAAATACATTTCGCGCCTACTCACACATAGTCACTCAGGGGGGAGTATATGTAGGGACACACTCTACATTCTCTCATTCGCTCATTGATACTCACGCGCTGCGTGCAGATGGCGCGCTATAGCGCACAAGATTGACTACAGACTTTCCCTTACACAATACATAGATACTTACGGACTTCTCATCTCTTTGTGTTTTTGAATACGGCTACTTTGTAACGTTCTCGTGATTAAATAATAAATATTCTTTAGTACATCCGCCTGCCAGTTATTTCCATCCGATTCTCTACATTATATGTACCACAGCTACAAAACGTATATCTATCTCACTTTAAGTTCCAAAAGTGTACACTAGTTCAGCCACAAAAAACAGACCTAAGCATCGCAGATATAGGCACTCGACGTTCATTCCGGTTGTCTTTTTTATTATTGTACAATAACATTTATACTTTAGCAATGATTTTCGCTATAACATAGGAGCATTATTTCATATTAGGAATACTGGTATCTCATATTACGATTTCCACGCCTTATGGTTTTACGATCATCAAATCTAACTTCTGTAATTAAACAATTCAACATGTTCCATATTTTTCTATTAGTACAACTTTACTCTATCACTACATGAAGAATTTATTGCCAAATATTTATTTATTAAATAATAAACAAGGTTTAAATGCTCATCTCAATGAAACTTGAAGACATCCAAATTCTAAAATCTTGTTTTACAATGACTACAGGCATGACCTAATAATGTATTTTCTACTAAATAGTTTTCAATCCAAGAGCAACAAATTTATGGTGGAACCAATAATAGCTAACGTTTATTAGTTTCGCAGAAATGCCGCTATCTCATATTAAGCGCCTATCTCATAATAGGGGGCTTTCCTCTATGTATTACTATATACAAATCCGAGTATATATAAATCCGAGTTCCCCTACATCGAGAATTTAAATGTCAGAATTAAACAAAAACAAAAAAAAAGAAAGAACAGGAAAATGAAAAAGAAGGGAAATATTGAAAATGTCGAATTAGAGAATATGGAAACTAATTTATCAAAAAACTTTAAGAATATAATTAATTATTCCGAAAATAAGGACGCTCACCACGGTTACAAAGCACCAAATCGTAAACATTACCATGGATAATTCAAAAATCGGTTCCTGATATGTTGGCCAGTTGGTATCAGACACAGTGAGTCACTTTTTAGTTATTAGCTAGTATTTTTCGAGATAACAAATGGAAAAATCCATCATTAAAACGTTAGTCAATTCCAAGAAAATGAAAGTTGTAAAATGATCAGAAATCTCACCAGAAGGACTCATTACTGTGTACGAACGACACCGGCTGACAAGATGTGACAACAATTCGAGCTTTTATAATTTATCTATAATCGGGAGGTAGGCCTTCGAAAGCTCCTCTATATCCGTCTGCAGGTTGAGTCCATGCGTTTCTCTCCTGATGAATATCATCTCCGAAATCAATCTTTCTGTAGTGAGGTTCCTCGTCCATTTTTTTATTGCAACGTTGTCCTAGTCAAAATCATGTCCCTCTTGCAACCGATGTTCCGTTATAACGTTGCGAACAGACGTGTTCCATCGGATGTGGTTCTTATGTTCTGTGATTCTTGACTTCAGTTGTCTACACGTCTGTCCCACATAACTTGCGTCGCAACTCTTACACGAAATCTTATAAACAACCTTCGACTTCTTATCACGCGGTAAAGGGTCCTTATGCACCCTAATAAATTCTCCCAATTTATTAACGCTATAAAACAATACCCTCACATGCTCATTATTCAATCTATTAAACTTCTCAGTAATACCATGAACGAAAGGGACCACGAAGGCCGCACTATATCAACGCTATTATCACTAACAACACTTTTACTATTACTAGTCATAATAATGCTCTTCAAACGATTGTTAATATTCTCAAATATAAGACTCAAAGGATAATCATTCTCTAACAATATTTTAATTACGAAACACAAATTATCAAAGTAGAATTTAGGATAAATAGTAGGGAACAAGAAGCTAAATTATTTTGAAAGAAAAACCACCCTATCAA